TCTCCCAAGTTAAAGGAGGGAAAGGTTAGGTAATTATCATTAAAAATCTAGAAATAAGATTAAAAACTTAAGTTGGGATCATTGGCTTGAGTGGTGGACTTAGGAAATTGAACTTAATCCAGTAGATAATGGCAAATTATTCAAGGTTTTTTGGTAACTGATTAACATGGAAGAAAGTTATATGTAAAAGTGAATGGAGAGTATATGTGAAAGATTAGAAGGAGGAAGAGTTTGGTGGTGATATGGAGACTAGTTTAGATTCTATTGCAGTGTCATAAGTGACAGGTAATTAGGGCTCTATGTACTGTGGTGGTAGTTTAAATAGAAAGGAAGACAAACATAGAAGAGATATCAAAATGGTAGAACTAGAAGGATTTGCCATTTGAGTGAGGATGGGAGGAAAGGGAGATGGAAAGGTCAAAGATTATGTCTAGTCTGCTAGTCTACCCAAATGACAGAGTAACTTTGTCTCTAACAAAAATAGAGGAATCAGAGAAGTTTAAGAGATGATAAAGGATTTTGTTTAAAACATAGTCATTTGGGGTAGCTAGATGATGCACTGGATAGAGCACCAGCCCTGGATTCAGGAGGACCTGAGTTCAAATGCGGCCTCAGACACATAACACTTACTACCTGTGTGACCCTGGGCAAGTCACTTAACCCCATTGCCTAGCCAAAATTTAAAAAAAAATAAAAAATAAAACATAGTCATTTAGGAATTCATCCATTGCAAAAAGAGCATAAGTGAAGGAATTTAAAGTGAATTAAAATGATAATCTAAAGAGTGTAAAAAGAGAAGAAAAAGGACCCAAGTATATAACCTTGAGAATGAAATAAACCTGAGACTTAAAGACAAAGAATGGTAAGCAGGAAAAAAAAAACAGACTTATGTGGCACAGTCACATGATCAGCAAAATGTTAATGGTTGGTTTAAACATAAATCTCCCACTGAAATAAACTAAAAAAATTAAGTAATATGTCAACATATGAGGTATGTTAAGATGCACCAATAAGAAGACAAACACTCAAGGTGAAGTTCTCTGGAATAACAACCATAAGCCATTCTAACTAAAACTCCCATTTGCCACAAAATTCCCTTTGGTTACATATAGTACATATAGCCAGTTAGGATTATTTCAAGGTCTAACTATAGTGGCCCCTACCTGATAACCACATAGGATTGACTCACTTTGAACTCTGCCCATTTATCCAGAAATAGAAGAAAAATCCTGAAAGAGGATGTATACAAACCTGGCACCAAAGCACATAAACTAAATGTGACAAGAAATGAAGGAAAATATGAACAAGAATTTTTGAAAGACAATACAATAACTACATATCGTACTTCCAAGAAAATAGAACCAAGGAATCCCAGTGAATCAACTACCATAAAACAATAAGAAATTCCACAATGGTTCAAAAAATAAATAATAATTTTAAGAGAAGATACTAGAATGGAAATTAAGAACAAAGTCAGAGTTCTCAAAGACAAAATAAATAAAATGAGTAGTATTAGTCACTTAAAATTAGTATTTGAGAATATATCCATATTAGTAAAACTTTTGAAAATATGAACAATGGATTTTATAATGCAAAAATATATAAGGAAAAGAAGATATAACAGAAAGGAAGCAAAAATTAAAAAACTGAAAGAACATAATTTCTATACATAAGAAAAGCAAATTACTTTGAAGATATAATCCACAGAAATAATTTAAAGATCATTCTTGTCTCAGAAAACAATTAAAAGCCAAAAAATTAGAAATGGAAGGGGTGCCCATCAACTGGGGAATGTCTGAACAAGTTGTGCTATATGACCGTAATGGAATACTATTGTTGCATAAGAAATGATTACCAGATGGAATTCTGAAAGACCTGGAACGACTTATATGAACTGATGCTGAGTAAAGTGAGCAGAAACAGGAGAATGTTGTACATAGTAACAGCAAAATTGTGCAATAACCAACTTTGATAGATTTAACTCTTCTTAGCAATACAAGGATCAAAGACAATTCCAAAAGACTGATGATAGAAAATGCTATCCGACAGAGAAGGAAGTGGAGAGTCTGAATGCAAATGGAAGCATATTATTTTCTCTATTTTTTATTTCTTCTTTCTCATGTTTTTTTCCCCTTTTGCTCTGATTCTTCTTTACAACATTATTAATGTGAAAATATGTTTAATATGATTGTACATGTATCGCCTATATGAGATTACATACCATCTTGTAAAGGGAGGAGTGGAGGGAGGGGGCTAAAAATTTAGAACTCAAAATCTTATAGAAGTGAATATTGAAACTAAAAACAAATAAATATTTAAAGAAAAAGAAAATGAAAATAGTATGCTTCAGTCTGCATTCAGATGACATCAGTTGTTTCTTTGGAGGCGGATATCATTTTTCATCATGAGTCTTTTGGGATTCTCTTGGATCATTTTACCGGAGAATAGGTAAGTTATTTGCAGTTGTTCATTGTACAACGTTATTATTACCATGAACAGTGTTCTCTTGGTTCTGCTCATGTCATTTTGCATCAGTTCATTTAAGCCTTTCTAATTTTTTTCTAAAATCATTCTGCTTGTCATTTCCTATAGCACAATAATAACCAATTACAATCATATACCACAGCTGTTCAGTCATTCCCCAGTTGATTAGCACACTCTCAATTTCCACTTCTTTACCCTGATGTTTAATTATTTCTGCTGCTCTAAAGTTTACTTTGAAGCATTATTTTAAATTATTTGTGGGGGAATTTGGGAAAGCAAGATAAGTTCCTGCCTTATTCCTCCTTCTTCCTCATATCCTCTCACCAACAAAACTATCTCTATAAAAATTTGATAAGTTTTATATAAGGCATATTGGTGGGATCTTTGGTGAACATCGGATTGTGAGGTTTTTATGCCCTAGCACATGGTCAATTTTTGTGTAAGTGCCATGTGCCACTGAGAAAAAATTATCTTCCTTTCCATCCCCATTCAATTTTCTCCAGAGATCTACCACATCTAACTTTTATAAAATTCTTTTCACCTCCTCAACTTCTTTCTTGTTTATTTTGTGGTTAGTTTTATCTAGTTCAGAGAGGGGGAGGTTCAGGTCCTCCACCGGTATAGTTTTACTCTCTATTTCTTCCTGTAACTTCTTGAACTTCTCCTCTAAGAATCTGGATGCTATACCACTTGGTGAATATATGTTTAGTAATGATATTACTTCATTATCTCTAGTGCCTTTTAGCAGGATGTAGTTTCCTTCCTCATTTCTTTTAGTAAGATCTGTTTTTGCTTTTGTTTTGTCTGAGGTCAGGATTTCTATCCCTGCTTTTGTTTTTACTTCACCTGAAGAATAATATATTCTGCTTCAGCCTTTTACCTTTACCCTGTGTGTATCCCTCTGTTTCAAATGTATTTCTTATAAACAACATATTTTCAGATTATGATTTTTAATGCATTCTGCTATCCATTTCTGTTTTATGGGAGAGTTCATCCTATTCACATTCACAGTTACAATTATTATCTGTGTGTTTCTCTCCATCCTATTTCCCCCTACCCAGTTTATGCTTTTCTTTCTCCTTTTCTCCCTTTCCCTCCTCACTAGAGTTTTGCTTTTGACCACTGCATCCCTCAGTCTGCCTTGCCTTCCATTAGTCCCCTCTGTTTTCTTTGCCTTTTCCCTTACTACTTCTTCCCTTCCTTCTATTCCTCCTTCCCTTTTCTTTTCCCTTTCCCCTCTTACTGCCTATATGGCAAGTTAAATTTCTGTACCTGAGTATATTATTCCCTCCTTTAGCCAAATCCAATGAGAGTAAAATTCAAGCAATGCTCATCTCCCTCCCTTCTTTCCCTCTACTGTAATATATTTTTGTGTCTCTTCATGTGGTATAATTTACACTTTTCTACTTCCTCCTTTCCTCTTATACCATTACCATTCCTTTTCACCACTTCTTTAGGATTTTTATCATCACATCAAAGTCATCTTAAACCCACCTCCTCATTGTCTATTCCTTCTAAATGTCATAATAAAAATACATTTCTCAAGAACTATAAGTACCATATTCCCTTGTAAACAATTTACCCTTACTAAATAACATGTTGTTGTTTCTTTTCTTTCCTGTTTACCTTTTTATGCCTCTCTTGAGTCTTGTATTTGAAGATCAAATTTTCCATTCAGCTCTGGTCTTTTCATCAGGAAAATCTGGCAGTTGCCCATTTCACTGAATGTCCTTCTCCTCCCCTGAAAGGTTATGCTCAATTTTGCTGGGTAGTTGATCCTTGGATGTGATCCAAGCTCCTTTGCCTTATGGAATATCATATTCCAAGTCCTCTGATCCTTTAATGTAGGAGCTGCAAGGTCCTGAGTAATCCTGACTGTGGTTCCTTGATATTTGAATTGTTTCTTTCTGTTTGCTTGCAGGATTTCTACTTGACCTGATAATTCTGGAATTTGGCTGCAATATTGCAGTATTCAATTTGGGATCTCTTTCAGGAGGTGATTGGTGGATTCTTTTGATGACTATTTTGCCTTCTGCTTCTAGGGCCTCAGAGCAGTTTTCCTTGATGATCTCCTGAAAGATGCTGTCCAGGCTCTTTTTTCATCATGGCTTTCAGGTAAACCAATCATTCTTAAGTTATCTTTTCTGGATCTATTTTCCAGGTCAGTTATTTTGCCAATGAGGAATTTTACATTTTCTTCTATTTTTTCATTCCTTTGATTTTGTTTAACTGATCTTTGATGTCTCAGAGTCATTTGCTTCCAGATGCCCACTTTTAATTTTTAATGGTTTTCTTCGGTTAGCTTTTGTACCTCCTTGTTTGTTTAGCCCATTTTACTTTTTAGGGAGTTGTTTTCTTTGGTGTACTTTTTTGTCCATTTTGTAAATTGTGTTTTTAAAGGAATTGTTCAATTTTTCTTCTACCTACCTTATTTGACTTTTAAAATTCTCCTTGAGCTCTTCCAAGAATGCTTTTTGGGATTGAGACCAGTTCATATTCCCTTCTGAGGTTTCAGATATGGATATATTGACAATGTTATCCTTGCCTGAATTTGTTTTGATCTTCCCTGTCACCAAGATACTTTCTTATGGTCACTGTTTTTCTGTGTTGCTGCTAGCTCTTTTTTCTGGCTTTTTAAGTTGATCTCTGCTTCTGGGGCACAGGGGGCACTGTCCCAGACTTCTTGTAGGGGGGCTAGGGATCTGGTTACTGGTTTGCTGAGGTGGGACTTTCCACTGGCTTGCTGGGATGCCCTCTAACTTGTACTGGTCCCTTTCAGCCACAGAAAGAGAGACTTTTCCCATTAATCCCCCTAACCTAGGTAGCTAAAAGACTGCTGCATCTTATCCTTCTGCTGACTCTATTATTTCAAAATTTTTCCTGGGGCAATATTCTCTGAGTTTTTCAAGGTCAATAAAAGAAGATGAGAGTAACTTACTTCTTACTCCACCATCTTGGCTGCAGGAAGTTTAAATACGTGACTTTCAGACATTCAGTCTGTGGGCTAATAGCTCCTGGAGCAGTGCTGCCACTGCTGCCACCATTACTGCTGCTGATTCAGTCACTCCCAGAGCCTGTTCCTGGTTTGCTGATGCAGGGACTGCATTGGAATGCCCTGCAGCCCTGTGTTGGACTGAGCTTCTCTCTTACCCAGTTCTGACAGACCCCTCCAGCTGACCTTCTAAGTTGTCTCTGGCATCTGTGCACTGAGAAGACTGGAACTTGTCACTGCTGCTGGTGATTCAGTCCCCCAGAGTGGCTTTGCCTCTTCTGTGTCTGCTGCTGTGCCCTGAATGCTGGATACTACTCGGTTGTAGTGCAACAGACCTTTCCTGTCAGCCTTCCAAGTTGTCTTGGGCTGGAAATCTGCCTCACTCTGTCTCTTTGTGGTTTCTGCCACTTTAGAATTTGTTCAGAGTGCTTTTATAGGGATATCTGAAGAGATTTGGGGAGATCTCAGGCCAAGTCCCTGCTTTTACACCACCATCTTGACTCCAAGACCCAACCTTTGGTGAACATATAAGAGAGAATTAGCAACATTTCACAGTTTTCTACCATAAATGACATCTTTAGCATTACACAATTTATTGATACAAATAAGCAATATAAAATCTCACTGTTTATTATTTGATTATGATTTTTTAAAAAGATCCTTTGGGGTTCCTAATCTGGGAGCTGTGAATATTTTTGGCATTATTTCAATACAGTTTCCCTTGTAATCAGATAAATTATTTTATGCATTTAAATACATTATTCTGATAAAGGGTCCATTGGCTTTACCAGACTGCCAAATATACCTACTGTAAAAAAAAAAAAGTTAAGAACCCCAGCATTACCTGAATTAAATTGAATTGCAACCCTAATAGCTTTCCTATGACTAGGGAGCATTTCTGATTAAGATCAATATCAATAAATAGCAGAATTTTGTTTTTGAATAGCAGTGAGACAGTGCTTAAATGTGCTAAAGTTCTTCTGAGTTAACTCTGAATCACCACAGCAACGATAGGGCATTTATTCATTAAATAATAATTATATAAACTGCCCATTATGATAAAAACTCAATTATTTCCATTATCAATATTTATAGGGTCAAACTGGATTACTCTAATGCCAAATAAGAGTAAACTAAACATAAATGATATGATACATCAAATACTTGGGTTATTAATGGCTTCAACAAAATACTTTAGTAAAGTATTGCTTCACTGATTAAACAAGACACACAAAAAGGTTAGCCATCCCAAATCCTGAAATAACCCAATTGGTAAAACATATCTTTATCAATATATTGGATAACTTCAGTTTTTTTCCCACTTACTCAGACTAAAGAATGTACAGAGACTGTATACATTGTCAATTCCCGGCATGTTGTGAACACAGTTTACTGCCATGGATTCCTTTGGAGCAGTAAATAAAATAAACTTTCTCATTTGCATGATCCTTAATCATACTGTTTAACATGGTTTCTCAAGGCACAAAATTTTCATTGGCTGAAATCAAGAGGTTTTCTTTGCATGAATCATCTTGTAGGTGGCAATTAAGACTTCAAATGCTTGTTTTTAAATGGCATGAGGCTCCAAAAATGTGCCTTTGCCTCAGAGAACAATTTCCTGAGGGTTACCATATGACCAGAACATGTAGCAGATGTTCTCAAACAGGATATGTCGACCTTTTTAAGCCTGAAGAGACCTGTGGTGGTTGTGGCAGCTAATTCCTATCGGATTTTTAGATTAAGCAGTTGGATATAGGAAACTGCTTTCTGTTAAGTGGTCTGCAAGGCTTTGAGTTAGGTGTGCTTCTGTTCATCCAGGTTACTGGCCCTGAAAGCAGAGTAAAACACAGATCTTAATTCAGTTAGCAATTCCCAGGAGTGATAGTTTTACAATTTAAAGGAAACAATTAGAGACCAGGCTATAGATCAGATTGGAACTCAATCCTTATTGATCTTAATGTAAAGTATGCACAGTGCATAGTAGGCAAAACAGTGTAAAAATATCTCTCCTTCATAAAGAACATTTTTCTTGGGGGAAATCATGTGACATATCAGTATCCATGAAATTTCACTGTAAGTTTCCTGTCTTGCTAAAACTGGGGCAGTTGCTGAGAAAAGAAGGCCTTTGAAATGTGTGTAAAGCAGAAATCATTAAGCTGACAGAGAACTAAAATCATGCCCAATGGGAATGCTGGCGTGTACACTCACTGTAGGTACCTGTTCATATGTTTCATTAACAGCTTCTATAGGAAGTAAAAGCAGGCTTACATTCAACAGTGACAGATTAGAGAACCCTATGAGGTCCTGACCAGGGGGCTACTTTGTAGATTTAGGCAGGTCAGTCGTCTCTCCTCTCTGATGCTGTGTTGTATTGGTGGGTTGTATTTTAATGGTGGCAAGTGAAGAAAAGGCAGAATAAAATCTGACGTAATGTGAAAATAATTCTTAATTAAAAATCATATTGAAACCTGTAGTCTGCAAGAAAATGATTATATATTCTAGATCTGGAAGGGACCTTCTAGGTCAACTAGTCAAGGTTGGCCATTTTACAGATAAAGAAACTAAGGTATAGAGAAGTTAAGGCCCTTGACTAAAATTACACATCTAATAAATGTCAGAGAAGGGATCTGAATCCAGGTACTCTGACTCCAAAGTCATTCTTCCCACTACATGTAACCCCTAAATCTGTTATGGACAGTTGTTGTGTACCTTTTTTGAAGCTCCAAGAAGGTAGAAATTCTAACCCCTACTGACACTCTTTGCTTTCTGGGGCTCTGTTGTCTGTGACATCAGTGCATCTGATCTAAACCTGCTGGTCCTTGCTAGAATCCAACCAATGACTCTGATGGCTTGAGAGTTTTTCAATTCATCATTTTAAAGTTCTTAGTATAGCTCTAACCTTAGCATGTCATTTTGAAATCCTACTTCCCAGCCCCATCTTTGTCTCTCACTTATTTACCTTCATCCTCATTACCATGCCTTTTCAGTCATAGGAGGAATAGAATGGCTATTCTAGAGTCTGATCCAGGTTGCTATCTGCTACCCTCTCCTAATTTGCATAAACCTCATTAATATTTTGCCAATCTATGGCTAGATTTCCCTGGGGTTACAAAAGAATCATTACCTAAAAATCACTATAATTCCCAGCTTTGCTAGATATTTAGTGGCCCCATGTGGTTCCCCTACTCTGTTGTACTCCCATGATCTTCCCCAAACTCTACTTTTCTTCTACCACTTATTTCCTCTTCCTTATGTCTTGCTAATAATATCCATTCTCCAAATCATGTTCTCTCACCATTGACCTTTTCTATAGAGGTAAGGATACAGCTACCTCATTTTCTTCTTGCCCTATTCCCTGAAAGCAGCACATGACCATTCCTAAGGCTTTTGAGTTTTGATGATCTCTCATCACCAGATTAACCTCAGCTTGCTGAAATTCTTAAGCCTAGCAGCTACTTAGCTTACTGGGGCCCGGAATGGTGATAACATATATTGGGAGAAGGATTATGCACACTGAGAAAATCATAACTCCTTGGGCTATTGAAATACTACCAATCATAACCAAGAATAAAATGGGGAAATTAAAACAACAACCAAGACAACAGTTACAAAAATACAGAATTATTCACTATTAACCCTGATTCTTTTGTTTAACTGTACAGGGAATTAGGCCTTAATCTTTCATACCTTCTCACTCTGGGGGAAAAACATCCTTCTTGGAATCATCTCCAAGTATAGTTCCTTTTTATCTATCTCTTATTCTCACTCCCACCTTTCAGACATTTGAGGAGTATTCATAGCACCCAGAATAAAAAGATAAATATTGTTGAATGGAAGAATAGCTAATATTGATTTAAAAAAAACTTAAAATGCTTTACACATATTATTTCATTTGATCCTTATAACAACCCTGAGAGGTATGTGCTACTATTAGCCCCATTTTATACAGGGATAAACTGAGCCTGAAAGAAGGTGAGCATGTCATTTAACCTAGGGTCATATATCTACTAAGTACTTGAGGCAGGAATCAACTTCAGGTCTTTCTGACTCAAAGTCTAATTGTCCTACTACTCTATCACCTCTTTGGCTCTATAAACTGGATCTGTGGAGGGGTAGTGAATTTACACCCCAGAAAGATTTCCAAATTCCACTCTTCTTATTAGGCTTTTGTCATCTTGGACATTTCTCTACAATCATGTCAAGTCACTTGTCCTCCTAACCCTTAGCTTTCTGCATAGATAAAAGATGAAAATAGTTCTTGACTTGACTATGAATATGATTTGCTTAACAGATGACAGGAGATAATTATGAGACTAGACTTATTAGTCTTTTTATAAGACCATATTAATTTGCTTCAGATTTTGGATAGCAAAGGCAACTGAGTTCATAATGATAATTTTTAAAACTTCATTTACTCCAAATTCTCTGGAGCAAAAACTGTTCATTCTTTGGGGCATAAAATCCCTATCTAAATGTTACCTATGGCTTAAGGTAACCTTAGGAGCTAGGTGGCACAGTGGTTAGAGTACTGGGGCTGGTATCAGGAAGACTCATTGTCCTGAGTTCAAATCTGACCTCAGACACTTACTAGCTGTGTGACACAGGGCAAGTCATTTAACCCTGCTTGCCTTAGTTTCCTTATCTAGAAAATGAGCTGGAGGAAAAATAATGGCAAACCACTCCCTTATCTTTGGCTAGAAAACCCCAAATAGAATCACAAAGAGTCAGACATGACTGAACAACAATAAAAGTAAAAATTCCTCCTTATTCCTCCATTTCCACTGCCCCCATTAGTTGTATGCTATATTCATATGGTTCAGTCTTCTTTGCTCTTTCCTCATACAACAAAACCTGCTCATTGATGAGATTCATTTATGTTTACCACTTTCAAGGTTGCCTATGTTTAACTTTTACTTATAATTGTATAACTATAGCATTTCTCCCTTTTACAAATTATTTCATTTTCCAGGAAAAAGGAGAGAAAGGCACTAGGAATTAGACTAACCAAAATTTTCCTGCTTTACCAGGGAGAAATTTGATGTAGTTCTGTTGATCCTCCTTCCCACACAATCAGGTTCAGAGAGCTAATTTAGGAATAGTAGCTCTTGGATGAAAATGCATGGAGTGTGTGTGTGTGGGGGGAGAGACAGAGAGAGGAAAGAGAGGGAGAGGGAGAGAGAGAGAGAGAGAGAGAGAGAGAGAGAGAGAGAGAGAGAGAGAGAGAGAGAGAGAGAGAGAGAGAGAGCGCTTATTAGAGCCACTGGCATCAGTTATTGCCTTTCTACTTTCATTTATGACTGACTCCCTGAATGGTAACAATGAAGACTAGAAGTAACCAGTAAGTAATGAATAAATCCATTCAAAAGTCAACTAGAGAAACTTGTGATGACCAAAGTCTTATTCTACCCTCACGTTACCTCTTTTGAAATATAGCCTTCTCCTGAAAGTTTTATTTTTTTTTTGAGGTCTTACAACTAAACACTTTTAACATAGGACTAGATGAAACCTGGGAAGTCATCTACTCCAAACGTTCATCTACTAAGGAAGCTACCTCCCAGAGAAATGGTAGATTATCTGGTGTGCTGTAGAACTAGTTAGTGGAGGTGAGGGGACTAGAATCCACATGTTCTGATTCTAAGTCATAGGACCATTTATAGCAAAGTCATTTACTCCACTCCCCCTCATTTTACACATAAAGAAATTGAGACCCAGAGAGGTGAAATAAATTGCATCCAGTCCCATAGGTAGTAGGTTGCAGATCAAGTGTGTGAACCCACATCCTCTGACTCACAATTTATCACTTTTCCTACTGTTTCCAAGATGTATGCCCATCCTATCACACAATACTACAGTAACTCACTTATATATCATTTTCTCAATTATGAAAGATATATATTTCTCCATGAAAATCAGTTAAGCAGGAAAATGTTTTATAAAATCAAGATATTATTAAACTTGCATTATCATTATCTTCCTTGCTACTAATACTTTGAAGATTTTGTCAATTTGGGTACATCTTCCAGCAAGAAAGAAGGCCCACTATAACTAAGCAGAATGTCTTTAAGAGTTGAAAATTTTACCCTTCTGTTACCAACCTGGTGATGAACATCTCTTAACCTAGACAGGCTGGTCCTGAGAGAGCACGCATACAATTTTTCAGTGGCTCATACTAAAAGATTTCCAGCTGGATAAAACCTGCCTGAAGTTGTCATCCAGTGTCATAACCTCTGAGAACCCAGGATCACTTCCTCTCTTGGCTAAGTCAGTAGAACAGAATGTTGGTGGAGGATCAATATTAATAATAAAAATACTAACATTTTTCATAAGAAGGCATGATGGTAAGCATGATGATGAGATCAAAGAATCAACATATTGATGTATACATTGTGCTATAATAATAATGGCTAGCATTTTAATAGTGTTTTAAAATTTGCAAAGCACTTTGCATATATTATCACATTATTCCTCATAAAAACCATGTGAACTAGGTGCTATTATTATCTCCATTTTACACATGGGAGGTTAAGTGACCAGGGCCACACAACTAATAAATTATTGATGCAAATTTGAACCAAGTAAGATTTTCTTAACTTCAAATCCAACACTATAAGCACTGTGTCACTTTGCTGCCTCACTACGTCACATTATTTTTACATTTTAGTATTTTAACATCAGTACAATCTTGTGATAGGATTATTATATAATAAAACATGATTACTAGCAAATGTATACATATATCCAAAGAAATGCCCACTCAAAAATAACTTCCAATAAATTATTAATGTACATTTGAATGACAAGAGTGAGCAAAGGCAAATTAAGTCATCCTAATTCTGGAGCAGTCCCAGTTGGTCAGTCCAAATAGCTTCTCAATGGCTAAAATGGTTTTCCACTGCAGCAATTACTGCAAAGGTGGAAAAGGTATTAGAATATCAGAGGTACAAGAAAGAGAAAAATTACTGTACTTTTTGGATTTCCTCTACTGGATCATTTGTTGCATTCTTTTCATACACAGAGGAATTGTGAAGCTTATTTAGACAAGGTCTATAAAATACTGAGAGCTCCCCAGAGAAAGGCATTCAATAGGAACACAATGTTATTAATTGCAAGGTTTATTAAACATGATTAATTCCTCTGCCTCTACATATTACTTTCTCATACACAGCTTATGTTATATAAATCTTTCTATGGCCAAAAGAAGTTTATTGGAAGGAGAGAGACTATTATTTTGTATTTTTAATAATGTGCAATTTATTCCTAAAAGTTCATGCTATTGATCAGCCAGGTACATTATTGGTCTTGATGGTTTTTTTTTTATTTTAGTTTTTTTGCTTGTTTGTTTTGTTTTGTTTCATTGGCTTGGTTTGTTTTTGTTTTTGTTTTTTTTCCCTCTCTATTCAGAAGTCTCCAGGGCAATAAGATCTTTTTATGAATTGGGCATTTTCAGAAGCTAAGTATTTCAGACTAGAAAATCACCTTCTGAGAATGTAAAAAAAAGTAACAGCTGAGTCTGTTTATTTGTCAGTGACATAATTGAGGAACTGTTATAGAAGTTGTTTTGAAAGTGAAGTCAGGAACACTGAAGACTGTTCATTGCCATTCTCAACACTTGTTGAAACAGCTTTCTTAAGACTTAGGTATTTTGAATGATACTATGTTGCCTGTGAGGATGAGCAGTGAGATCTGTTGTAGCGGCTTCTGTGTTAGCCTGGAAAATACACTTCTGCTAAAAATGTATGCTTGAAAAGAGAGCTCAGTAAGAGGTAGAATTATTGTACACAGGAGCAGGGAGAAAAAGAGAATGAGAGTGTGAACAATAACTTGTTACGTATTTTTCAGGAATGGTTATTTCTTCTACTTCCCAATTTCATATCTCTTTGCCATCTCTGAATTTTTCTCTCTATATAAAATATTTCAGATCACTTTTCTTTTTAATGGAGTGCTATTAAATGTTAACTTTTTATTAGAAACAATGAAATGAAATCAAAGCATACAAATATATATTTACTTCAAATTCTGCAGGATGGAATTTAAATATGTTTTCATTATATATTCAAAAAACTTTTCTTAATGTGAATATGCATGCCAATGACCTGTGCAAAATACTATTTATTATAAATAGATGAAATACAAGATAAGTCTTGTCTAAACTGGCTTTTTGCTTTTAAATAATTTTCTTTTGTGTCTAATAGGTTTATACTTTAAGTTACAAGAGTGGAATTAATTTATTCATAAACCATACATTAAAAATGTCAAGAGACTAAAAAGAAACGTGTATAGTACCACATATAGGACTTAAAAAGTGGACTTTCCTTTATCTCTTTAATGATCTCCAATACCTAATAAGTTTCTAAATTCTATTTTCTCATCTTTTCTCACACAAACGTCCTACTTCATTATGAACTAAAGGAATTAAACAGGTCTTGTTCTATTTGTCCATGCAAGTTTCCAAGAAATATCGGCATTTGAGCTAGAAAGGATCCTAAGACAACATCTTATTCAATCATCTTATTTTACAATTGAGGAAATTCTTTAATTAATTGTTTGATTAATCAGTCTCCTAGATGATCTACGTGAATTGAGTCTCTGTCATCTCCATTCCAGACTACATATTATTTCTATATTTAAGTTTTTTTAAGATACCATTTTGATCATTTCACTGCCCTAATGAAAAAAAAAAACTTCAATGGCTACCTATTGTCTACTACATGAAGTACAAGTTCCTCTGCCTGACTTTCAAATTCCCAAAACTACAGCCCCACCTTTCCTCATCACCTTAATTTTTTACTATTTCTCAACATTTTCTCTTGATCGAGTCTCCTACCAATAAGCCTAAAATATATTATGTTTATTCCTTTTTGTATTGTGTCTCCTTCACTGCTTCTCCTAACATCAATTAATTATGTTTTGTTGGGAAGAGAACTGAACTTGGATTTGGGAGATTTGGGTTTGAATCACAGCTCCAACACTTGCTAGGACTGAAATTTGGGGCTCTCTTGACCACTCTGAACCTCAACTCTCACAAGGATGGCATGAAAAAATCCTTAAAGTGTAAATCTTAAAATTCTATGTAAAGATGATTTACTATCACTAATAAAAATAATCACTTACTGAGTCTTTATGGTGGTTTTGGAATGGTTTTACTATATTCTTTCCAATTTCTTTGTATTCTATTAAGTCTTCAAGGCCCATCTCAAGCTCCACATCATCCATGCACTTTTCTCTTATCACTCCCTTTAACTGTTCTTTCCTTTTTCTGAATGACTATTGAACTTGTAGTCAACACTACGTAGCTTGATATTTAATTTTGGTCTAATTCTTTCATGTATGTTAGTTTTATTTCCCCAAATAAACATTAAGGTCCTGGAGGGTGAATAATTTGCTGTATAACTTTTTCTCCAAAATACATTATTCCAATGTTGAGGAAACAACAACAACAATGACAATGATAATCATCATAATATTTATCATGACACTTTATAGTCAGGAACAGAAATTGAGAAACTTACTTGAAATATAACTAATGGGAGACTGTTTTTTTTCACTGAGACATTAATTAAAGAACAGAAAGAATCTGGATAATAACGTAGGAGTAATATTTGACAAAAGCTGTCTACTTACGTACTGAACTTTCTTGCCTTCCAACCCTTTTAAGCTCCAAAACACAAAGTAAAAGAATAAATGTCTGATCAAATGTTTAAAATTTTGAATAGTTCGAGGGAAAAGGTTGAAAAGCAATAATAATCTGTACCTCTATCTGACTCAAAACATGCATTATCTTCATCACTTTGTACCTTTCCTCCTCTGATGCATAGACAGCTGTCATTTATCTCTTATTAAGACTCTATGAGCACCTCCAGGTTAGTACAACTTTGAATAGTACAGATCTCAACATATACAAATACATATGCATATACTCATATGCCAATAGGGATGTTTTACAAGTACTTCTTGAGTAAACTTGGAATTATTGTTTATACACACATATGTAGTGTGTGTATAAATGAATAAATAGATATGCATGTGTATGTATATATGTATCTATCTATACCTATAGATATAGATATAGATACATATATTTTCCATACATGTCCTCCTGTAACTCCTCTATAAAGAGTCTAGCTATTCACTGGGGAATTTATTTTATATCTCTTGACATTGTGAGGGCACCAATACAGCAAAGTTTATTCATTGGCAATGATTCCCTCTTACTACATGACAGGACTACTTTCTTTTTCAGGCACACATTTCTTTGCTAAGACATTTTATATCTTTTAACTTGTGTAGCTTCACTGCTAACCATCTGCAGCTTGCTCGACACACTGTGAATCTCTTCATTACCTTTTGCAGGGAACTTCTTTCAACTTGAATTGTTTGAAGGCTGAGGTGTTCTGTGAATCATAGTCATAGAGCATTACCAGAAGAATCAGTGTTCAAAAAAAAACAAAAACAAGAAACATATGGGCCTTTGTTTCAGGGTAAAACCGAGGATCACAAAAAGCTTATATAATTTTCCAAATGCAATTCAGTTCATTTTTAATTAATGAAAACTGGATGTTAAAGTCTTTTAAATAGTAAACCAAGTTTAATATAGGAAATAGGAAACTTGAGGGCACAGTTTATTAGAGAACTAACTAGTTATAAAATTTCCCTACTGACATTTTGCAAGAAACTTTGACTACAATTTAGAGAAATAACTCTTTCATAAAATCTGTATCATTTGTAGAATGTTTTCATTTATTTTCTCAATTACATGTAAAAATATTTTTAATATTTTGAGTTCCAAATTACCTCCTATTAACTGTCTTCCCTCCTTGAAAAGGCAAGGATTTTGATATAGATTATACATGTGCAGGCATGCAAATCATATTTCCATTTTAACCATGTGGCAAAAGAGAACAGAGATCCTCCCAAAAATGCAAGAAAAATAAAGGAAGTTTTAAAAAGTGCACTTTGGTCTGCATTCAGACTCCATCAGTTCTTTCTCTGGAGGCAGATAGCATTTTTCATCACAATACTTCAGAATTTTCTTGTATCATATTTCCAAGAATAGCTAAGTCATTCATAGTTTATCATTATATAATAATGCTGTTACTATTTGCAATTATCTCTTGACTCTGCTCACTTTGTTTTGCATCAGTTCATATAAGTTTTCCCAGGCTTTTCTTTTTCTGGAACCATCCTGCTCATCATTTTTTGTATCACAATAACATTCCATCATAATCACATACCACAACTTTTTTGGCTATTCCCCTATTGACAAACATCCCTTCAATTTCCAACCCTTTGCCACCATAAAGAGCTGATATAAATATTTTTCCTACATAAGACCTTTTGCACTTAAGGTAATAATTAAATAAAACTGTCTATCCTTAAAATATGATGTTTAAATTATTCAATAACACTTTTTAGCTATATTTCAGGTATTTCTCTTTTTCCAACTATTCTACTTTATTCTATGTAGAAGAGTGTTGGAGTGAATATGAGGATAAAATTAAATTTTCATGATATCTAGAGACATACCTAATTGAAAAATCATGATATATGGCAACTCAAATGGGGAAATTCAATGTATAAAGTTCATTTCCTAGACTGTGAAGGTAGATTACAAAGTAAGTCCATCATTTTCATAGACAGGTAGTGAAGTATAGTAGACAATATTACAAAATTGGATTCAGGAAGACCTGGGTTCAAATCCAACCTCAGACATTCATTGAGTATGGGAAATTATTGAATCTCCACCAGCTTTAGTTTTAGCATCTACAAAATTTCATCCATGATATTTTATATCTCTTCTATCTCTAAATCCATGATCCTATAAGGAACCTTTGAATGTAAGGTGGGAGATTTAGTTACACTATGAATACCTAAACTTTCACATAATATTCTCTATTTCCTAAAGATGAATGAAACCTAAATGAATTCAATTGTTCATAGAACTGAGAGACAAAGAGGATTTTAGAGGATGAACAAATGTCTGAAAAAGCAATTGTTAAACATTTACTATCTGCTAAGCACTATGTGAAGCACTAGGGGTACAAAGAAGAAAAAATAAGACAGTCTCCATTTTCAAAGAGCTCATTTTAAGTGAGGGTGAAATATATATAAAGTTTAGCTACAGGACAGATGGAAAAGCCTGTATGACCTAAGAAGACAAAAAAAGGGAGATGGTAGGGCCTCATCATACTTCATCTCCTTGGAAGTAATGACATTATTTATTCCCATCACATGCAAGCTTCCCTAGTGATTTGGGGGATTAGTTGAGTCTGAGGGTATGGAGTACTCCTTATGGTAACAGGTATTCCAACCCCTTCATTTTACAGGCCTAGAGACATGAAATACCTTGCCTAAGGCTAAGAATATTATAGCCAATATTTAATCTTAAGTATTCTGATTTAACATCTAGTGATGTATCCATTATACCATGCTGTGGAGTAGGTAAGCCATGACTAATAAATCACCAGGCACCTAGCACATTCATTCACAACCTTTCTCTCAAGCAAACTACTTGAAGTCATGGAATAAAATATATCAAGATTCAGATAACTTTTGTTGTTTTAATCTTAGTCATTTTTCAGTCTTGTCTGATATTTCATGACCCTTTTTGGGATTTTCTTGGCAAAAGGAAACTGAGGCAAATAGGGTTAAGTGATTTGCCCAGGGTGATGCTGCTAGTAAGTGTCTAAGGCCAAATTTGAATTCAAGTTTTCCTGACTCCAGGCCTAGAGCTGTACCCACTGTTTCACCTATATGCTGAGGAAATAAACTGCAAAATATCTGGTTGGCACGGGAATAGTTCCCTCCTTCACTCTTGATAAAGAACTACACCAGCATTTTCACCAACATTTTGAAATGTTTTTAAAAAAAAAGTCAGTATGGGGCTTTTGTAGGAGAGGTCTGGAGCTGTACAGATGAGTTAATATTTGTGTAGAGGGTATACAACAGAATTTGATTGACTTGATACGAACAGATTGTGTGTTGCATTAGCTGAAAGCTTATTAAAATGAAATGTTAGAATCTAGATATTATAGGGAGGTGGTACTAGTTTTATTTTCTACTGGATCTTTTCCTTAGATGTGCAGGAAGTATTCACAAGTATGTAACCATCATGTTCATGAGTGGTGGATACATACGTGTTCTACTCCAGTCTTCCATCTTTGCAATAATATCATAATCTGGGAAGCAAGAGATAGTTGTGCATAGACAAATTCAGTCTAGTATTTACTTTCTGTATCGTATGATCTGATTTTGCTTCCTCTCCCCAGAGGAGGGTGCTCTGATACACTGGGCAAACTTACAGTAAAAGGAAACATGACTCCATGTGTCTGAGACTTAATGTCAGGAATACTTCACAGCAATACGGAGTATGAATTGAGAATAAATTAATGTTCATGAGAGAGGGAAAACAATGGGTTCAGTTAGTTATATAAAATTAGAGTTCATTAGAGAATATTCAAGTGGGGATATAGGTCAAAAGACAAGTTAAGGCTAAAGAATTATGGTTTGGGAGGTCACTCACTGGATGAGTAATATAAAATTCTGCCTTTCTGAACATTAAGCTATAATTTACCAGGCAAGGAGGCAACTTTGAAGGTGATTCAAAACACATTATCTTCTCTTTTTTTGAAAGCTAAGCATAGAATCTTGTATGTATTGGTGGACTCTTATAAAATATATTTATGATTCAACAATGTCAAATATCATATTGCATTTATTATGATCACAGTTATACAGATCAATGTATGTGCACGTAAGCATGTACATATAAATACATGCATATATACATATATATCTATATATATACATGCATGTATATAGTATGTGGGTATATGTGTTGTTATAAAATCAATGTACCATTAAAAATTAAATTTTGTTCATTAGCAATGTCAAACTCAAATTGACTTAGAAAACCACAAATTTATATTATCTATGTTGCATTGTATTTTTATTTATTTTGTTAAACATTTCACATTTATATATTAATCTTGTTCAGGTTGCACTCAGGAATCTACAGAATGTAAGTTTGACCTCTCTATTGCACAAGACATATAAGGAAAGGAACAATATAAATGATAAATATTCAAGAAGATACATGTAAATTGCTAAATTAAATGCCATACAAGGAAAACTAAAATTCCAACTGTAATATTTGAAGATGATATAATGATTAAGAGGAAGAACAAAAATTAAACAGTGTAGTTGATTACTAATTGGTAAATGGTTAAAAGATATGAACAGGCAGTTTTCAGATGAAGAAATTGAATCTGTCTATAGTCATATGAAAAAATGCTCTAGAGCACTATTGATTCAAGAAATGCAAATTAAAACAACTCTTCACATTATCAGATTGTTTAATATCACAGAAAAGGAAAATGATACATTTTGGAGAAGATGTGGGAAAACTGGAACATTAATGAATTATTAGTGGACTTGTGAACTGATTCAACTATTCTGGAGAGTAATTTGGAACTATGCCCAAAGGGCTATAAAACTGTGCATACCCTTTAATCCAGCAATACTGCTACTAGCTCTGTATCCCAAGGAGATCATTCAAAAGGGAAAAGGACCTACATGTACAAAAATAATTATAGCAGCTCTTTTTGTGGTGGCAAAGAAATGGAAATTGAGGAAATACCCATCAAATGGGGAAATGGCTGAAAGAGTTGTGGTATATAAATGTAATGGAATGTATTGTGCTATAAGAAATAATGAGCAGGCAGATTTCAGAAAAACCTGAAAAGATTTACATGAACTGATGCTCAGTGAAGTGAGAAGAACTCCAGAACAAAGTACACAGCAACAGCAACATTGTGTGTTAATTAACCATGATAGACTTAGCTCTTCTCAGTGATACAATACAAGACAATTCCAAAAGACTCATGATGGAAAATGCTATCCACATCCAAAGGAAGAACTGTGGAGTCTGAATTCAGATCAAAGCATACTATTTTCACTTTTTTTGCTTTTATTTTTGTTTTTAATTTTTTCCTTTTTTTCTGATTCTTCTTTGACAACATGACTAACTGTGGAAATAAGTTTAACATGATTGCACATGTATAATCTATATCAGATTGCTTGCTGTCTTAGGGAGGGGGGACAGGAAGGAGGAAAGGAGGGAGAAAATTTGGAGCTCAAAATTTTATACAAATAAATGTTGAAAACTATCTTTACATGTAATTTGAAAAAAATCAAACTATTTTGAATGAAAAAAAATTATGTTGAATTAAATTGAATCTTTTTAAAAAAAAAGTGTGGTTGAAAAGTGTCTATCTCCAGTGGGATTGAAGAGATTAAAGGGACAAAAAAGGCAGACTGTTAGTATTTTTCTCCTACAATGAGGTATGTGAAAGTGAGAAATAAATGTACTCTCAAGAGAAATAATGGAGTCCTA